GAGAAGGGAAAAGAAGAGGAGAGGAGAGGGAAATTCTCCTTCAGGCTTCAAACTCGAACTCGAAGTACTGGGGGTCGAAGTAATGGATGCGGACGTAGCCATCCTCACCCCCACTGCTGTAGCTGCAGGGAGGAAAGGGAAAGTCAGGAATGCTGCTGGCAGCAAACAATGGCAAGTCTGCCCTCACCACCCCCTCCTGAAACTGGTACAAGAATCACAAAGTGGAAAAAAAGATCAGTGATGTGGCCCAAGAGTGGGGCAGGGTGCGAGTGACCCCCTGGGCTGGCTCAGAATGGAGAATTCAGGGGCTGGTTCCATTCCCAGCACAGAAATCCCCTGAGTTTGGTCATATCCCAGTTAAAAAGTGGGATTGGGTGGACTGGGGACACTGCAAGATCCCCAGGGGGGCTCTCACCTCTTGCCATCAGGGTGGAAGGCCACGCTGTTGATGGGCCCGAAGTGCCCCTTGACTCTGCCAAACTCCTCCTCAAAAGCCAAGTGGAAGAACCTGGGAGGAGGAAAATCGAAATTGTCACAAGCCCAGGAGGGACAAAACTACAGAATCCTCAGAAAAAAAAAAAAAAAAAATTGGGTGGACTGGGGACACTGCAAGATCCCCAGGGGGGCTCTCACCTCTTGCCATCAGGGTGGAAGGCCACGCTGTTGATGGGCCCGAAGTGCCCCTTGACTCTGCCAAACTCCTCCTCAAAAGCCAAGTGGAAGAACCTGGGAGGAGGAAAATCGAAATTGTCACAAGCCCAGGAGGGACAAAACTACAGAATCCTCAGAAAAAAAAAAAAAAAAAAAGCTCAAGGGTTCCTCCAGCACTGCCAGCTTCCCAAAGGAAAGGGAAGAGCAATCCTTGGGGTGCCAGGAGTGCTCTGGGTGAGGATTCAGCCCTGCCAGAGGGAAAAGGACCAACCTGGCCTCGAATTTGCCAATCCTGGTGGAGGTGGTGGTCACATCCATGGCCTCTTGCCCTCCTCCCAGCACCACCTGCAGGGGAGGGAAAGCAGAGAAATCACAGCTCTTCATTTAGGGATTTAGGGAATCCTGGCACCACTGAGGTTGGGAAAGACCTCCAAGATGGAGCCCAGCATTGATCCCACCTTGAACCAGTGAGTGCCAGGTCCAGAGGCTCCCTGGACACTTCCAGCACAAACCCGGGGGGGAAAAAAATACAGAATCCTCAAAAAAAAAAAAAAAAAAAAGCTCAAGGGTTCCTCCAGCACTGCCAGCTTCCCAAAGGAAAGGGAAGAGCAATCCTTGGGGTGCCAGGAGTGCTCTGGGTGAGGATTCAGCCCTGCCAGAGGGAAAAGGACCAACCTGGCCTCGAATTTGCCAATCCTGGTGGAGGTGGTGGTCACATCCATGGCCTCTTGCCCTCCTCCCAGCACCACCTGCAGGGGAGGGAAAGCAGAGAAATCACAGCTCTTCATTTAGGGATTTAGGGAATCCTGGCACCACTGAGGTTGGGAAAGACCTCCAAGATGGAGCCCAGCATTGATCCCACCTTGAACCAGTGAGTGCCAGGTCCAGAGGCTCCCTGGACACTTCCAGAGGTGGTGACTGCCTCCAGCACTTCCCACTGATCCCACAGATCCCACAAATCCCTCAGCAGGCCTCCAAGCCCCTGAGGAATTCCCACCTCCCTGACACATTCTATCAGAGGATTTGTTCCCAGTGCCTGACCCAGCAAAATTCCCCAGGCTCATTCCAGAGTCCTGGTTTTGGGCTGGACTGGGAACTCCCACAATGCAGGATTCCCAGGATCAGTGACACCTCAGGGAGCTCATCCTTACGTGGTCAAAAATGGGGGAAAGGGCAGCAGAGTTCACCGGCCGCTCCGTCCGGAACGTCTTCAGGTGCTCCAGGGATGTGCAGTCAAAGAGCTACGAGGGGAAAAGGAGAAATTCATGAATCAGCTCCAGCTGCTGGGCCTCACCTGCACGGGTGTTCCCTCTGCAAGCTCAAATCCCAAAAATATTCCCCCAGAAAGGCAAGTCTTCCACCTTCCAGAACTGACAAACTAGAGAAATACCCAAATATTTAATTTTCAACGCCTGGCTGTTCATTTAGCACCTCCCCTTTCTCACTGAACATTCCCCAGGGAGCAAAACTCCCTCTGAGCAGAGATCCTGCCAGGAAATCTGCAGGAAAAGCTCACCTTGGCTGTGTTATCCTTGGAAGCAGTGATGAACATGGTCATGTCCCGGGAGGTCTGGATGTCGTTGATTTGCTTGGTGTGCTCCTTGATATTGGACAGCTGCTCCCCTGACTGGGGGGGAAGAGGAGTTTTCATGGGGCTGGGAAGGGATTCCCTCATTAAAAACACCTTGGGAGAACATGGAATAGATTCCTGGGAGAACATGGAACAGAACCCTGGAATGCATTGGAAGGGAATTTAGGAATGGATTTAGTTCCACACCCCTGTGCTGAGGTGTCACTTCCAGCCTCGCTTGGGGGGAGCCTCAGATTTTAAAAAGGGGATGGAAAAAGGAGTTTTCAGGGAGCTGGGAAATTATCCCCTCACTAAAAACAACATGGAATGGAACCCTGGAATGCTTTGATCTGGAAGAGAATTTAGGAATGGATTCAGTTCCACCTCTCTGTGCTGTGACAATTCCAGCCTCGCTCAGGACAGCCCCACATTTCACTGATCCCTGCTGAAGCTGCTGTTTGTGGAGCCCCCCAGAGCCCCATTCCAGCCCTGCTCCCCCTGGGAATGCTCTCCCAGGCCCTGACCTTGGCACTGAACTGGTTGAGCTCGCCGTTCTCGTGGCCAGCAATGATGAACTCCCCGAGCGGGCCCCACACGGCGCTGGTGATCTTGGAGTCACTGCAGGGAATCTTCATGTAGGGCTCGTTGTTCTCTGGGGGAAGCAGCAATCAGCCACCCACAGCCAGCACTTATCCTTCCATGTCCCCTGCTCAGCT